GCCCATTTAATGATTGGTTGAAATTATATTTTTTAAAATTCTAAGTAAACAGGCAACAATCCAAACCTTTTGTTTTTCCTTTAATAATCATCTCCATGTTTTTTTTTAAAAAAACAAACAAACATATCTTTCAAAAATTGGTTTTCTTTCTTGGTTTCTAAAGCATATCTGGTTTGCAAATGAGATAATCTAACAATGAAATATAGGTTGTCTTGCAACTTGTTCTTCTACCACACACACAGAAGATATTGTGGACATCTGTCCATGTCAATATCTAAGCATTACTGTGACCCGGCAGGTGTGAGGCTCCTCTCCAGAGAAAAACCAGAATTCTTCAAATGCCAATGACTATAGCTGAAGGTTGGGATCTTAGAGGAATTTTCATGGCTTTAATAAATTAATGTTACAAGCACTGGTAAGAAGGATTTCTCTGACTCAAAAGTTCACTCACAAGCAACTGAACTTTCCTCAAGCATTTATAAAAAGAGATGAAATATAAATTAACTTGTTTGTGTATTTACAAGTACTTGAAACCAGGAGTAGAGAACTTTTTCATTATAAGTGAAAGTAAAAAACAAAGAAAATTCATTAGTAAGTTTTTCCTTTGTTATCTGTTAGAGAATTTCAAATGGGCTGTTTTTTCATAGTTTATTTAATTATTACTACGGATTGAATTCAGGGCCTTGCTCTAAAGTCTCCCTTTTTAGCACTGGTTATTTTCAATGTAGGGTCTCTATTTATGTTTAGGCCAGCCTGGGCTGTGATCTTCCTATTTGTTTTTCCTCATATAACTGGGAATAACAGATGGCTGCTCCCTTACCCAACTCTTGATTGAGATAAAATTTCATAAAATTAAAAAATACTTATTACAAAGGGGTTTCAATTCTAGAAGTCATATTCTCCTAAACTTTTATGCCTGGGGTTGGTCTTGGACTGCTATCTCCCATCTTTGCTTCTCAAGTAGCTAAGCTTCCAGGCATAAGCCATTGCACCATCTAAGAATGTGAATTATACTGTAATTTTGTTCATCACCCACAGTGATGGAAGAAACCAGAAGAATAAAGTCCATATTCCTATTTGAAATTAGCCTTTGAGGGATGGATATAAGCTCAGTGGCAGCATTGGTGCAAAAACAAATGGAAGGAAGAAATGAAGGGAGGAAGGAAGGAAGGGAGGGAGGGAGGGAAGGAGGGAGGGGGAGGGAGGGAAATAGAAAGGGAGGGAAGAGAAAAAGAGAAAGAAAAAGAAAGAAGGAAGAGAGAGAGAAAGAAAGAAAGAGGGAGAAAAAAGAAAGGGAGGAAAGAAGAAAGAAAGAAGGGAAGGAAAGAAAGAAGGAAGGAAGAGAGGGAGGGAGAGAGAGGGAGGGAAGGAAAAGGATGGGAGGGAGAGGGAGGGAAAGAAAGAGGGAGGAAAGAGAAAGAAAAAAAGAAGGGAGGGTGAGAGAAAAAAGAGGGAGAAAGAAAGAGGAAAGAAAGAAGAAAGGAGGGAGGGAGGGAGGGAAGGAAGGGAGGAAGGAAGGAAAGAGGGAAGAAAATTAGTATTAAGAGATAAGCTTTCTAGTTCAATAGTTTCTTTGAATCCATAGGAAACTGGTTCTAGGGCCTCTTTTTTTCTTTTTTCTTTTTGCCAGTCCTGGAGTTTGAATTCAGGGCCTAGGCATTGTCCCTGAGCTTCTTTTGCTCAAGGCTAACACTCTACCACTTGAGCCACTGTGCCACTTTTGTTTTTTTCTGTTTATGTGGGACTAAGGGATTGAACCCAGGGCTTCATGCATTTTAGTCAACCACTCTATCACTAAGCCACCTTTCCAGCCCCAGGACCTCTCTTAAATACAAAATCTATAGAGCCTTAAGTGTCTTGTATCATTTGGGTATAACATATGCACAACGTCCTATATATTTTAAATCATTTCAAGATTACTTATAATACTAAGATAATATAGATACTATTTACAAAGAAATAAATGATTTTTAACAAATTTCATTTCCAGTGATGCAGAAAAACCTTTTGACAAAGTTCAACATCCTTTTTTGAAAAAAAAAAAGCTCTAAAAGAACTATGGATAGAAAGACCATATCTGAACTTAAAAAAAGCAATATATGACAAACCTACAATCAAGCCAGGTGCTAGTGGCTCAGGCTGATAGTCCTAACTACTCAGAAGGCTGAGATCTGAGGATTGCAGTTCAAAGCCAGGCTTGGCAGGAAAGTCTATGAGACTTTCATCTCCTATTAGCCACCAAAAAGCTAGAAGTAAAGCTGTGGCTAAAGTGACAGAGTGCTAGTCTTGAGTAGAAACACACACACACACAATCAACAACAACAACAACTATAGTCAACTTAAATTATTTCCTCTAAAGTCAGGAATGAGATAAGGGTGTCCATTCTGCACTCATGCAGTATGGTAGTGGAATTCCCAGCTAAAACAATACGGCAGAAGAAATAAAATAGATTCAAATAGGAAAGGAAGAAGACAAATTATCCCTATTTGTAGATAATATAATCCTATACTTAACAAACCCTAGAGACTCCTTCAAACCAAATAAAAGATTATGAAAATAATTATTCTCTCATACCTCCCTTATATCCCAGTCTTGGAGGACTGAGTGGAGTGAGGCACGGTCAACAGTTTTGTATATGAACAGTCCCTGATTTATGATGGCTCCACTTAATGATTTTTTTACTTTATGATAGTGAGAAAGCAATATACATTCAGCAGAAATTACATTCTGACTTTTGATTCATTTCTTGGGCTAGCAGTGTGTTGTATGATGATCTCTAGTGGATGCTGAGCTGTAGCTCCTAAGTCAACCAGGAGATAGCTTGGGCAATATTCTGCTCTACCCTGTGCTGTCTTGCTAAGTTGTGATATTCAGTAGGAAAAGTGTACTAAATGCCTTTTCCACTTATTTCCACTTGAAATCAGTTTATCTCTATGTCTCCCCATTATAAATCAAGGAGTATTTATATTTTCTTCAAGATATTGTCTACATACACAAAATATGTAAGCCAATATTACATGACAATTCTTATAAAGAACCCCCACATAAAGCTGGGCGCTGGTGGCTCATGCCTGTAATCCTAGCTACTCAGGTGGCTGAGATCTGAGGATCAAGGTCCAAAGCCGGCCTGGACAGAAAAGTCCATGAGACTCTTACCTCCAGAAAACTGGATGTGGTGCTGTAACTCAAAGTGAGAGAGTGCTGCTTTGAGCAAAAGAGATCAGGAACAGCACCCAAGCCCTGAGTTCAAACCCCATTACCAAAACAAAACAAAACAAAAAACCAACAAAATAGAACTCAGACAAAAGGGATTTCACTATTTGCATAATACTCGTGCACTTTGAATTTTTTCACATTATGAATCTCAGGTATTTTTTCATATCCATACATTTATACCCTCTCTAGTCTTCATAATTATTCCTTAGTATTCCATGATAAAGCTATTCCATCATTTAAATAATCCCCTTTTGATGGACAGTTGCATTATTTCCAGTTTGGCAATTGCAAATAATGCTGCTATAAGCAACTCTCATTCATATATGAACTTTGCTGCTGCTTGCCCAGTCCCTTCTGCTACTTCCCACAATGCATCTTGTCCAGACTTCTCTTCTTCCTCCTTTGCTACAGACCCAGGTACTTTCTCTGCTTTGGAGATATTCATTCTTTGGGGTCCTCTACCTCTAAGCTACCATGTTTCTATTGACCAGCATATAAGACATTTTAGTGTTAATGTTGTCACTCCTCGATACAAACAGGGAAATCACAATGAGAGCAAAATGAATATTCACTCTAGTAGTCCCTGGCTCTAGTTTCTGTCTACTTTAGGAAATAATAAATGAAAGCCTTCTTTCTCATACAACAAACTCATTCATGATTCAAATATTAAGAAAATCAAGTTGATTTTTCTCTGTAATACACCTTCACCATTTTGAAAGTGTGTGTGTGTGCGCATGCGCGCGCGCACGCATTCTTCTTTTACTCAAGGTTAGCACTCTACCACCAGAGCCAGAACTCCCCTTCTGGCCTTTTCTGGGGAGTTTATCGGAGATAAAAGTTTCTTAGAAGCTGGGCGCTGGTAGCCCACGCCTGTAATCCTAGCTATTCAGCAGGCTGAGATCTGAGGATCTTAGTTCAAAGCTAGCCCAGGCAGGAAAGTCCATGAGACTCTTATCTCCAATAAACCACTCAGAAAACCAGAAGTGGTGCTGTGGCTTAAGTGGTAGAGCACTTGCCTTGAGCTGAAGAGCTAAGGGATAGCGCCCAGGCCCAGAGTTCAAGCCACACACTGACAAACAAAAGAAAAAAGAAAAAAAAAAAGGTTTCGTGGAGTCTTCTGCCTGGGGCTGGCTTTGAACTGATCCTCAGATCTCAGTTTCTTGAGTATCTAGAATTACAGGTGTGAACCACTAGTGCCCTGCTAAATTCTTCTTTTAAGAGAGAACTCAGAGATGGGATCCTTGTTCTCTGTCTGCTAGTCTTTGTTGTTCTGAGTATTTTCTTAAACCAACAAACTTATACTTTTAATTATAATGCAAGCAGGTAGGCTGCAATGCTCTGTGACTAACAACTGAAAATGCCAAAACTTTGAGTACTAAAGCCAAATAATCCTGGGTGAGTCACACATAACCTCTAGGTACCTGTAACATAAAGCCAGTAGAATGAATAATTTCCCAAACCCTGTGGAGAAAGGGGGTAAGGCCTACACAAAGAGAGGGCAAGATTTCATGAGAGAATTCAGTACCAAAGTGAGCTTTGAGTATGAATGTCTCATGGGGCAGTCCATCTGTGGACACCTGTTGTTTTTCCATTTGTTCTGCTGAATTGGAGACACTCAGAATCCCTGAGGCTGATCCCTTGACTTTCACACCTGTCTGCATCTGAATTTTTCATTTGTGATCTAAGCTAGCAGCACTCTAAGGGCTTCTAGAAAATTAGGCGTGGCATTTCCTGGCTATGCTCTACAAAGCAAAAACAAAGCACATTTTTCTGCCTCCAACCACTCAGGAGAGGCTATTTTCTGCTCTGATCATAAAAAGAACACAAAGTAAGAACTTTGTGCTTGCAAAAGCTCAGAAAGAAAACATTATGGTAGGGAGCATGTGAAGCTCTAGCATGGGAAACTGAATTCTTGGGAAAGTCCTGGCATGGATGCTTTGGGTTTGTCATTTGTTGGCATCTCGGTTGAAGCCTGCTTCAAGAGTGAAGAGAAGAGAGAAAAGGCAGATTTGGTGAGTGCCTGTGTGGCTAGCCAGGACCTTTCAAATGCAAACAATGTTCTCTGTTCTTTGATGCAATACAGTTTTCTATACTTCTAGTTGTTTCTTATAGGGAAGCTGAGTGCCTAAAATTGAGGGGCTGGAGAAAGAGTGGAGGAAAATGAACATTCATTGACCAAGACCAAAACCAGGAGTAATTGAAGTCAATATAGTAACTCCTAAAATTTTACTTAGAGATGTCCAGGTGTCACCTAGGCTAGTACTTATCTGCATTATGTACTTCCTCTTGCTAAATGCTTACTATTATTAGTAGTAAGTAATAGTTATAATTTACAGCTATCAGCTAATAAGCAGATGAAGAATGAACAACTACAGAGTATCTACTAAATGACAAATACTATTATTGCACTTTATATGGATTAATTAAATTAACATAAAGCAATGAGACGAATACTATTTCTGTCTCTATTTACAAATGCAGATTTGGAGGCACAGGGTTAAATAACTTTCATGAAGAGTAATGGAGCTAAGATTCAAATCTGAGGAGTCTGGCTTCAGAGCCAAATTCCTGATCATCCTGTTATATGGCTTCTATTTTATTTTTATTTTATTTTTGTGCCAGTCCTGGGGCTTGAACTCAGGGCCTGGTCACTGTTTTTGTGTTTAAGGCTAGTGCTCTATTAGTTGAGTTACAACTTTACTTCTGATCTTTCTGGTGATTAACTGGAGATATTGGAGATAAGCATCTCATGGACTTTCTTGCCTGGGCTGGCTTTGAACTGTGATCTTCAAATCTCAGCCTCCTGAGTTGTTAGGATTACAAATATGAGCCTATAATAGCTATATTGCCTCTTTAGATGAGCAGTCACAGCCCTTTCGAACTGAAGCTTCAATGTAGATAAACCACACACACACACACACACACACACACACACACTTATTTCAATTTCACAAATGTAAAGTGAATTACATATTACAGTGGACTCAACAATGTGTGGAAGGATTGAGCAAGAAACAACTAGGTCTCTTGTTTTCAGTAGGAGGGAAAAGTAGCGCTATAATGGCTCTTATGAAAGCCCAGAAACATGAGTGAAGCTGATGTGCCCAAACAATAGTCAATCCCACTGTTCTGAATGGTTGGAGAAGATGCATAGAGAGCAACAGTGGGATAACACAGCTCAGAGAGAGAGAACTTATCATGAAGCACTTAAATTTCATTTGAGGGTTTTGTATGGTTTCTATTGTTGATGAAGTTTTGTTTTGTTTCCCTGTGGGTGATAAGTTTTGGAATAACACGCTCAGATTTGCTTATACAGAAGATGGATTAAAGAAAAGCAAAACTTAAGGCAAGAGGCCAACTTGAAAGCTTTTGCAAGAGACTTGATAGAGTTTCACCAGGATCTGTATCAGGCAGCAACGGAGAGATAGAAAGAATCTGGGGGTACTTGAAATAGGTATTTTTCCAAATTCTACAAACCAATAAGAAACATATCAACAATTTAGGAGAAAATGGGTAAAATTTTAAAAGATGCAATTGATAAAAGAAGAATCCAAGCCGGTTGCTGGTGGCTCACTCCTATAATCCTTGCTACTTAGGAGGCTGAGATCTGAGGATAGTGGTTCAAAGCCAGCTTGGGCAGGAAAGTCCTCAAAACTTTCATCTCCAATTAACCACCAGAAAACCAGAAGTGGTACTGTGGCTCAAGTGGTAGAGCACTTGCCTTGAGCTGAAGAGCTCAGGGACAGTGCACAGGCCCAGAGTTCAAGACCCACAACCAACAAAAACAAAAAGAAGAATCCAAATTTATGCCCCTAAGTGCATATTCAACCTAATAATCAAGGGAATACAAAATAAACAAACAAAAAAGTCTGCCTTTCAGATTACTAGAATGAAAGGGATGATGATGTAAAATATTGGAGCAGACATAAGGAAAACAATGCTCTCATATGTTAGTAGTAGGACCGTGAATTAGTACAAACATTTATGGGGGGGGGAGATAAGGCAAGTAACCAGATAAAAGGCTTGCTTTTTCCAACTTTTTAAAAATTGCTATTATAGGACTGTGAAGGTGGATCAGTGGAAGAGTGCTTGCCTTGCATGCATGAGGCCCCACCAGGTTCGAGTCCTCAGCAACACATAAACAGAAAAAGCCAGAAGTGGCGCTATGGCTCAAGTGGCAGAGTTCTAGCCTTGAGCTAAAGAGCCGAGGGACAGCAACCAGGCTGAATTCAGGCCCCATAACTGACAAAAAAAATGCTATTATAATATACAATATAATCTACAAAGGGATTACAGTCACATAAGTCAGGTAATGAGTATATTTCTTTTCATGCAGTATCACCCCTTCCCTCACTCTCTCCCAGATTTTCCTTCCCATATCCACCCACAAGTTGTATTGTCCATTTTCAACATAGTGTCTAGTGAGTAACACTGCTGCATTTGTTCCTCTTTTTTTCACCATTTCTGTGTCCATCCTCCCCTCCCAAAGACAGATAAAGGAACAAACAAGACAGAAAGAAAAGAAAAGAAAAACAAAGAAAAAACTCTTTATTTCTTGGAGTTCATTTTTATTTACATTATTTTGTTTTGTTTTGTTTTTTGCCAGTCCTGGTGCTTGAACTCAGGGTCTAGACACTGTCCCTGAGCCTCTTCATGCTCAAGGCTAGCACTCTATTACTTGAGCCACAATGCTACTTCTGGCTCTTTCTGAGTAGTTTATTGGAAATAAGTGTCATGGACTTTTCTGCCTGGGCTGGCTTCAAACTGCCATCCTCATCTCAGTCTCCTGAGTAGCTAGAATTATAGGCATGAGCCACTGGCACCCAGCTTGATATCTATGATTTTATATGGTCAGATGTATATAGGCATTGCACGTTTGTGCTCCTCTCCTAAGTATCCTCTTTTGGTCTCACTGTGTGTGAGTGTCTAGAGTCCTACAGAATTTATCATGTCCCAGGGTATTTTAGATCTATGAGAAAAAATATGCACCATTTGTCTCTCTGAGCTTGGCTTACCTCACCTAACATGATTTGTTCTAGATCCATTCATTTCCCTGAAAATAACATAATATTATTCTTTCTAATGGCTATATAAAATTTCATTATGTACCACATTTTTTTGGATCCACTCCTCTATTATATGGCATCTGAACTGATCCCATATCTTGGCTATTGCGAATAGTGCAGCAATGAACATGGACATGCAAGTGTCCTTAAGATATCCTAGCTTGTGATGTTCTCAGATGCCCAGGAGTGGTGTGGTTGGGTCATAGGGAAGATCCACATTTAGTTTTTTGAGGAACCTCCAGACTGCAATCAGAGTGGTTGTACTAGTTTACATTCCCACCAATAGTGCAATAGGGTTCTTTTCCCCCACATCACCATCAACATTTGTTGTTCGAATTCACAGTGTCAGCTAGTCTAACAGGGGTAAGATGGTGTCTGAATTTGATTTACGTTTCCCTTATGGGAATGCGAGAGATGAGCATTTTCTCATGTATTTCTTTGCCATTCTGACCTCTTTTTCTGAGAAGTCTCCCCTTAGCACTTTTGCTAGATAAAAGGCTAACAGCTGTGAGTTAAAGGTGGCTAATACTATGTTTATAATATTTTTGTATATTTCTCTGTAGCTTTTATGCTTCTAAAAAGAAGTATAGAATGTCTGTAAGAGAAAAGATACAAGTAGTACTTAGCGTGAAAATCATAAGACTTGGTGACTGATGTAACACATGGGTGCTGAGGGTGAGAGAGGAAGTTAGACAGTGGGACGCATTGCACAATTCACCACAACACATCCTGTGTGCCCAAATTAGACTTCCTGGCATCATTTACTCAATTAAAGACATCCTATTGGACTAGTGAGTTCCCTTTCAGTCTTTTGCTGATGAACATAAAAGTATATCTCTAAGGGGTTGGAGTCATGGCTCAGTTGGTAGAGCAATAACCAAAGGTTGAATGCATCAGGTACCAAGTTCAAGTCCCAGTATCAGACCAAAAGAAAAAGAAAAAAAGAATTATATCCGTAAGATAAATTAGAAGGCAAATTGCCAAATCAGAGGTCAGGTGATACGCATACATATATAGTTTGTGTGTTTTGTTTGGTTGGTTTTGGTGGTACTGAGACTGAACTCAGGACCTTGTGTTTAGTAGGCAAGTGTTCTACCACTGGAGCCATTTCCCCAGTGTAGCACTTCATGTATTTGATAGACATTGGCCATTGGTCTTTTTTGTTGTTACAGGTAATTTCTAAAAATGAACCCTGAGTAAGAAACTTCTTGTCCATTCCCTGTAACACTCCTCCAGGCACTCAAAACACTATTTCTTCTTTTGGCTCTGAGAAACATTTGCTTTAAGAGAGTATGATCCCACAGTACTATAGAAATAAACAAACTGCGTATATATCCAAACATTGAATGGCTGCCTGCTTTTACTGCAGGTCTGTCATGTTTCACTCAGTCCCTCCTCAAGGTCTGTAGCTGAGAGGAAAGGAAGCAGGCCTGCCTTCCCACATGGAAACTATGACCTGGAGATGCTGCCCCTATTTAATCAGGAATGTGCCCTCCAATTCTCATAGTCCCACCTTCCTCACACTGAAGCTGGGTACCAGGCGCCATTTATCATGCAACAGCAGACCGAACAAAGGCCACTGTTTTCTAATTTGCAGGAATGTGGTGACTAAATAGATGTGTATTCATAAACTTCTTAGGATAGTGCCTAACCCACAGTAAGGTTCACAAAATGTCATTGAAGCTGCTGGCACTGTTAAAAAATAGTCTCTGACTCCAACTCTCTATAACAGATAGGAAAACAGACCTGACTTATTTACTTTTTTTTTTTTGCTGGTCGTGCGGCCTGAACTCTGGGCCTGGATGCTATCCCTCAGCATTTCAGCTCAAGGCTAGCGCTCTACCACTTCAGCGACAGCACCACTTCCGGCTTTTTCTGCTTATGTGGTGCTGAGGACTCAAACCCAGGGTCTCACACATGCAAGGCAAGCACTCTACTACTGAGCT